TGCTTTCCTTCTAATCTTGGTTGCATGGACTTTGTATTCAAAACCTTTTAAATTTAATGTAATTAAAATTATCCATTTTGTACTTCATAATGTTCTCTGTCTCTTGTTTGATCATATAGTCTTCTCTTCTCCATAGATCTGACTGGTAAACTATTCCTTGCTCTCCTAATTTGCTTATGGTATCACCCTTTATGTCTAAATCATGTACCTATTTTGACCTCATTTGGTATACGGTGTAAGATGTTGGTCTATACCTTGTTTCTACCCAACTGTTTTCAAAGCACTTTTTGTTAAATATTGAGTTCTTATCCTAGAAGCTAGAGTCTTTGGGTCTATCAAAGAGTAGATTACTATAGTCATTGACTACTGTTTCTTGTGTACCTAACCTATTCCACTCATCTACCACTCTATTTCTTAGCCAGTACCAAATATTTTTATAATATAGTTTTAGATCTGGTACGGCTATGGTCCTTATTGATTTGAACCTAGACTTTTGTTACTTCCTTTAGTTTCTCATTACTCCCAACAGCCAAAGTCCTCTTCCTAATATACCCATACTGTTATCTCACCCTCCTGGTCAAAAACCTTCAATGGTTTCCCATTGCCTACTGAATAAATTCCTAATCTTCTTACTCAAGGCTAGACAGGAAAGGACCATATCACATTCTAGTTACAGCCTCCCTTTCAAGAATCATTTCATGGAAGCCAAGCCAAGTTGGCAGAGAAATGGCAGAGACACCCCGCCATAGCTCTCCCCCAAATGCCTCAAAACAAATTCTAGAGTGTCAGAACCCACAAAAGGATGGAGTGAAACAATTTTTCAGCCCAAGACAACTTAGAAAGTTGGCAGGAAAGGTCTGTTGCACCATGATGAGAGTTGAGCACAGTCCAGTGCAGGCTGCCCCAACATATACTTGATCCCAGCAAAAGGAGCAGGCCTTGGAGACAATGGAATCAGTGGCAGGAGTGGTGGTTTGGCAAAACAGTTTGGCAAAGGAAGAACAAAAAATGTTGAAGAAAACAACACCTTAAAAAACCAGAATAGGCCAAATGGTAAAAGTGGTACAAAAATCCGATGAAGAGAAGAATGTCTTGAAAGCAGAATTGGCCAACTGGAAAAGGAGGTGCAAAAGCTCACTAAAGAAAATAATTCCTTAAAAATTAGAATTGGGTAAGTGGAAGCTAATGACTTCATGAGACATCAAAAAACAATAAAAATGGGGCAGCTAGGTGGTGCAGTGGATAGAGCTCCTGCCTTCGAATCAAGAAGACCTGAGTTCGAATCCGGCCTCAGACACTTGACACTCATTAGCTGTGTGACCCTGGGCAAGTCACTTAACCCCTCACCAAGCCTCACTTAACCCCTCACTTAAGCCTCACCAAAAAACAAAATGAAACAAAAAAAAAATAAAAGGAAATCAAAAGAATGAAAAATAGCATAAAATGTGAAATATCTCATTGTAAAAACAACTAACCTGGAAAATAGATCCAGGACAGATAATTTAAGAATTATTGTATTACCTGAAAGCCATGATCAAAAAAAGAGCCTAAATGTCATCTTTCAAGAAATTATCAAGGAAAACTACCCTGATATTCTAGATCCACAGGGTAAAATAGAAATTAAAAGAATCCACTGATCACCTCCTAAAAAAAAAAAACCCAAAATGAAAACTCCCAGGAATATTATAGCCAAATTCCAGACCTCCCAAGTCAAGGAGAAAATATTGCAAGCAGCCAAAAAGAAACAATTCAAATATCATGAAGCCAGTCAGGGTAACATAAGGTTAGCAGTTTCTACATTAAAGGATCTAAGGGCTTGCAATATGACATTCCAGAGGGCAAAAGAGGTAGGATTACAACCAAGAATCACCCACCAGCAAAATAGTGTATAATCCTTCAGTATATTTTCCTTCAAGAAAAAAATGTTCATTCAATGAAATAGAGGACTTTTAAGCATTCCTGATGAAAGGATCAGAGCTGAATAGAAAATCTGACTTTCAAATACAACACTCAAAAGAAGTATAAAAAGTAACATTAAAGTGAAATCATAAGGGATTCAGTAAGGTTAAACTGTTTACGTTCCTACATAGGAAAATGATACTTGTAACTCCCCAAAACTTTCTTATTATTAGGGCAATTAGAAGGTGTATACATAGACAGATGGCACAGGGGTGAGTTGAATATGATGAAATGATTATCTTAAAAAAATTAAGGAGTGAGAAAGAAGAATGCATGGGGAAAAGGGGAAAGGGAGACGTAGAATGGAGTAAATTATGTGACATAAAAGAGACCTGAAAAAGATTTTACAGTGAAAGGGAAGATGGGTGAAAGGAGGTGGGAAGTACATGAACCTTATTCTCATTTGATTTGACTCAAAGAAGGGTATAGAAATCTATCCTACCATACAGGGAAGTAGGAAGGGAAGGGAATAAGGGAGAGCAACAGAAGGAAGGGTAAATTGGGGGAAGTAAAAGTCAGAAGCCAAACACTTTTGAGGAGGGACAAGGTGAAATCAGAGAGTAGGATATATACAGGTGGGGGAAATGTGATGGAGGGAAATACATGGTAAGAATTACTGTGGAAAAAAAGTATTTCACAGCAAGTTTCTCTGATAATGACCTCACTTTTCAAATATATAGGAAACTGAGTTAAATTTATAAAAATAAGAGCCATTCCTCAATTGATAAATGGTCAAAGGATATGAACAGCCAATTTTCAAACAAAATAATCAAAGCTATCTATAGTCATGAAAAAATGCTCTGAATCACTATTGATTACAGAATTGCAACACTTCTGAACTACCACTATACACTATCAAATTAGTTAAATGACAAATGTTAGGGGGGATGTGGGAAAATTAAAACACAAATGCACTGTTGGTAAATTTGTTTACTGATTCAACCATTCTGGCAAGCAATTCGGAACTATGCTGAAAGGGCTATAAAACTATAATACTCTTTGAATATGTAATACCACTACTAGGTCTGTATCCCAAAAAGATTTTAAAAAGGAAAAGGACCTATATGTACAAAAATATTTACAGCAGCTTTTTTTGTGGTGGCAAAGAATTAGAAATTGAGGGAATGTTCATCAATTAAAGAATGACTGAACAAGTTGTGATATATCATTGTCATGGAATATTATTGTGCTATAAGAAATGATGAGCAGAATGCCTTCTGAAAAACCTGGTCTTAGGGGCAGCTAGGTGGTGCAGTGGAGAGAGCACTGGCCCCTGGAGTCAGGAGGACCAGAGTTCAAATTCCACCTCAAGACATTTGATGCTTACTAGCTGTGTGACCCTAGGCAAGTCACTTAACCCCATTGCCTAGCAAAGTACAGAAAAAAAGAGAGAATCTATTGGGGGGTAGCTAAGTGGCACAGTGGATAGAACTCCGGCCTTGGAGTCGGGAGGACCTAAGTTCAAATCCTACCTCAGACCAAACACTTGACACTTACTAGCTGTGTGACCCAGGGCAAGTCACTTAACCCCAATTGCCTCACCAAAAATACAAGAAAAAGAAAAGAAAAAGAAAAACCTGGTCTTACATGAACTGATGCAAAGTGAAATGAGCAGAACCAGGAGAACATTGTACACGGTAACAGAAACATTGTATGATGATCTGTTGTGAATAATTTAGCTATTCTCAGCAGTACAATTATCCAAGACTGTTTTGAAGGACTAATAATGAAAGGTGCTGTCCATCTCCAGAAAAAGAACTGGTGGAGCCTGAATGCAGATCAAAGATACTGTTTTTTAGTTTCTTTATTTTTCTTGTTTTTTTTTTTTTAATCTGTGTTTTCTTTCACAGCACGACTTACATGGAAATGTGTTTTGTATGACTACATATGTATGATCTATATCAAATTGCTCACCTCAAGGGGGGGGAAGGGAAGGAGGGAGAGAATTTGGAACTCATAATTTGAAAAAAGAATATTGCAATTATTTTTACATGTAATTGGGAAAAATAAAATATTAAATGTTAAAAATCATCTCATAATACTTGCCTTCACACATAATATTTAACTTCACACACAAACTGGCCAACTCTCCATTTTCTTTTCTTCCCACGCTCTCCAGTTTTCTGTGCCATTACTTAAACCATCTCCCTTGCCTGGAATATATTCCACTGTCTGTCTGTGGAAGTTTCTGCTTTTAAGTCCCATTTCAAGTGCCACTTTCCTCATAAATACTTCCTTCACCACTACTATCAATTTCCCCTCCTTTTCTCCCTGCTTAAAGTGATGTGTCTTTCTTAAAATTTCTCATAGTATTTTTGGGACTTCTTACATCACATTCTGCTTTCTGTCATAACTGTTTGGGTACTCATTACCTTTCCTTCACAACAATGAGTAGCTCCAGAGGACAGAACTAGGATCAATGGATGAAACTGATAAGAAGGCAGATTCCCAGTCAAAAGAAACTTTCTAATAATCAGAATAGTTCAAAAGATTGAACTCTCCAGTGATGAGCATTTTTTTTTTTTTTTTGGTTTTAGGCAATTGGGGTTAAGTGACTTGCCCAGGGTCACACAACTAGTAAGTGTCAAGTGTTTGATCTGAGGCCGGATTTGAACTCAGGTTCTCCTGACTTCAGCGCCACCTAGCTGCCCCCAGTGATGAGCATTTCAATACAAACAGAAGTTAGATGCCACTTGTCAGGGATACTGTAAAAGAGATAGTTCATCAGAAAAGAGGTTATGCCAATTACTTCCAATATCTTTTTCAGCTCTTAAGATTTAATGATTTTATGATTTCTTTTTATTTATCTTGCCCAGCCCTTACTTGAGATTCTAATGAGCTGCTTTCAGCTTAAATATTCTGCAACTTTGTTAAATAATCCCCAAACCAGGCATCAGGAAGGGCAAGAAGCAGACTGATTCATAGTTTGCTGAATTAATATTGATCAATTTAATTGTAAAAGTAGAAGAGAAATTAAAATACTCAAGTATTTGACAACTTCAGGGACATCCAAGTCTCAGCAACCTCTTCCTTGATTTCAGGGGCTCCAGAAAGTGCAATGTACCACTACCAACAGGCCATCCAACTTAGCCCACGTCATCATGTGGCCATGGTTAACCTTGGCAGACTCTACAGGTCTTTGAGAGAGAACAAAGAAGCTGAGAAATGGTACAAACGGTAAGCATATGAGGTGAAAAAAAAAGTGGGTACTTCCAACTTGTCTTGAAATAAAACATTCAATACTTTTGAAGCTCCTCATAAATTCAACTTTCATTTTTCTAGCCATTTGCCTAACACTTTTCCCTTGGTAATGCTGGGAAAAAGGACATGACAGCTGGCTTCAAATGTTTGAGCAGCTGTCACTTTGAAAAGAGATTAATTACATTTAATATGTGTCATTCCAGAACGTAGAAGTGGGATGCAGATATCATCTCAATACATATTTTACTAGTTGAGTAAGCTAATGAAATTGGTTGTGTTGGTTGTTTCTTTTCTCAGACTTTTCTTTGGTTTGCAGAAGGGCTACACTAAAACTTTTACACAGTTTTTCTCTTAGCCAAAGGACTGTCAGTAGTCTGCTCATCCTTGATCTAAAAGGAGGATGAGTAGGGATGGAGAGTCTCTGAAAAGATATAAAAATCCTTTCAACAGAAGAGTGCTAAAATAAGTAAAATGTAAAACTTCTTCATGACTATGTGGTATTCCTCCATTTAGTGAATCTGAGCTTCCCTAGACTCAGCTACTGAAAAGCATTTTTTTAGAGAATTGCCTAGGATTTCCCCTACAGCTTCCCATGTCACCCATCACCTTTTGATTTGTTGAGGAAGAAAAGATCTTAGATACTAGCATGGTCTATCAATTCCTTTTATCAGTTCAAATAGCCCTGAATGAGGAACAGTATTGTAGCTTTCCAGAAAAAACATTGAAACATACTATTGTCCTAGTCTATACTTGGTTGCGTGGTTACCTCACATGGTGAAATTTTCCACTAGAAGTACCCATATTTCTGAAATCACAGACAGCTATATACATATTTTTAAATAAATCTAGGTGAAAGAATGCAGATCAATCAACACAAATCCATTGCCTCCCCTAGAAAAGACCTTCCAAACTTGTATTCTTGAATAAATATAATGACTCAGCAGAGTCATCTCTTTATTAAAAGGAAAACATGATTACATACCTTTTTGAGGGCAGGAATTGTTTCATTTTCTGACTTTGTATTGCTAGCCCCTAGCCCAGTGCCTGACACATAGTGGGTTCTTATCAAATGTTGATTGATAGATTATCTGTATTTCCTTTGTCTTGATACAAATTGAAATCATAAAATTTGAACAAAGAATCTTGAGAGAAATAGTCCTCTCTAAGTATGAACATTTCTGAAATATGCTTCTTAAAATAAAGTGTTATAGAATGATATGGACAAGAATCACCCAAAATGAAGTTTGAAGGGCTAACAATCTGCACAGATCACAAATCCAGGGAAGGATCAAAGTGAAAAAATGGTGTTGTGCTTTTTCTTTACATTTAGGGCCCTGGATATAACACAAACAGTTGAAATACTGTCCCCCTTGGGAGCACTATATTACAACACTGGCAGGTACGAAGAGGCATTACAGATTTACCGTGAAGCTGCAGCACTCCAGCCTTCAGCTAAGGAAATCCAGCTGGCCTTGGTAAGAACAATTGATTCCCAAGATAAGAGGGATTTAAGAACTGATTGACATTCAGAAATTGATAGAATTCTCTGTTCTGGGAAGAAATTTGGGAAAATGGAGACATTTGAGCCAGAAGGCAAACTTGAGTCTCACCTGGGAGCTCTTAAAGGGAAAAATACTGTCTACAAGAAAATAGAGAGAAAGGAGCAGAGATTACAAGAATTGAGCACTGTGGGGAGACTTTGCAGCCCTGTTCAGGACTATTGAGCCTTTTGACCTAGAAGGAATATAATGGTTCTTGGGTACACTTGGTGCTTTTCTCCATTTTATGGAGTTTGTGTCAGGGACAAAGTAATTAAAGTGATCTGTTTTAGTCTGGAAATATAATGAATAACCCAGTCCCTACTCTCAGGGAGCTTTAATCTAGCGAGAAGGAAGAGACCCAAATACAAAGACATAAAAATACAAATCAAAATGTGGTGAAGAGTATAGGAGGGGTGGAACAAAGTATCATGAGAAATGCAAGCAGGAGGGAAATTAAGACTTCAGGAGTGGGGGGAAGGGGGAGAAAGAGGTTTGGGAATGATAGGGGAGGGGAATGGAAGCAAGCTTTCAGGGAAGGCTTCATGGAAGAGGTGGCTCTTGAGCTGGACCTTAAAAAAAGGAAGGGGGGGCAGCTAGGTGGCATAATGGATACAACACCAGCCCTGAAGTCAGGAGGACCTGAGTTCAAATGTGACCTCAGACCAAACACTTGACACTTACTAGCTGTGTGACCCTGGGCAAGTCACTTAACCCCAATTGCCTGGAAAAAAAAATGGAAGGACCTCCAACCAAGGGTGCGTTTGGGTGGTGTCTGGTATATGTGTTTGTTGAAAAGATACATGGAGGTAACACCAAGTGTAGAAAGGTGAATGAGAATTCAGGTCTCAGTATGACTGTAGTTTGGCCATAAAATGTCAGTGCAGTCTTGGAAGGAAAGTAGTTTAAGTTACTGTTAGAGTAACTATGGGCTGAGAGCGAATGTAAATCGCAACTGTTTCTATTTTGGCCAGAAACCCTGAGGATCTTCCTCTCCCAGATAGATTTTTTTCCTTTTTTGACTAGGAAAAAGAGGCCATTCTTTGCCTCATTTCTTACCTAGCCTTAATCACTGATTGGGAGTTGCCTCAGACAAACTGAGACCTGGGAAAGCCCTTAGCTAAAAAGGCCAAGGTCTCCCAGTGCATCCAGGGCTATCTCTAATTGTCCTGATTTATATATTGCCACTGGAGAATTGCCTCTGGAGAAGAAAGTGAGGCTGGTGACTTTGCACAGCCCTCCTCACTTAAATCCAATTCACTTGCAAGTCATGGCATCACCTTCCTGATGTCATGGTCCTCTTCGAGAATGATGGACAAACAGCAACATGATCAAAATAGCTTGAAACCTCTAGTTAGGAAAATTCCTAACAGTAAGACAGGTTTGGCTGATTGACCAATTAAAATTTTTGTTTAACTCTTGTTAATCTCTAGCCTCTTTATTCGTGAGGCAAAAATGAGGATACAAGAAAATATTTAGGTAAAAGAAGTGAGCAGAGTATATTACTGTGTCTGTTGCTAGACAGGCATGATGAGAGAAAGTTGGGGAAAGGGTAAGTTTTTTGGGTGACCTTCCCTCAGTCCTTGAAGACGTAGGTAAAATCAATAGCTTCAGTCTTACTCCTCTGTTCAGAGTTGAATGCAGTGCCCAGTGGCCTACCTCAATCTCTTTCACACACTTCTGTCCCCTGTATTTTTTGCCTGTTGCCTCTATAGCTCTGATTCTTTCCATCGTGGCTTGATTAGTCCTGAGTAGGACTTGAAAGTCAACCTAAAGTTTCTACTGTCATTCAGCCCCTTTAGTCCTCACTTCTTTCTCCTTCTTCTGTTTTGCAGACTGTGTGTATCCCTCTAAGAACTTCCAATCATGACTCAATTCTGTCCTCCAGCTCACAGATCTTCATAGTCCAAAATCACTTTCTGAGAGGGAATACTTCTCCCTATAAACTACAAATCCTAGGATGCCAGTCAGTTATCAAATTCCGACAAGACAAATATATGAACAATGTGTGTTTGACCCAATCAGTGGCATTCTTTCAGTCAAGAAACCCTGGCATCTGCAGGATTCTAGTTATTTTCTCTTCAGATACTAAATGCTACCAAGTATTGAATTCATTCATCAAAGATCCTCATACCCAAATCATTTGCTCTTCCTACTCATTAAGGCAGCTACAAATGAAACTTACTCACTTGCCCACTTACCTGTTAAAAACCATAAAAATATATTCAGAACTGGGAGTCTAGGTAAAAATCTTTCATTCTCGAAGGGCTGTCTTAGCAGATATTTCTTCCCAGTGACCTAAGGGATAAGAAGAGAACCAGAGACTATCAGATAGTTAGTGCAGCAATATCAGTGAATTACTAGACAAGCTCTGAAAATCCTTAAACCAAAACATTGTTAATATATACTGAATGACTACAGTGAGTAAAATTTTATTTGGAAGGAAATCCTAGAGATATTTTAAAAACAAAGTATTGAAATTGTTTTTTAGGCTCAGGTTTTAGCTATGATGGGGCAGACAGAAGAAGCTGAAAAAATGACCAACCACATTGTGTCAGAAGAGGCTGGATGCCTGGAATGCTATCGCCTGTTGTCAGCAATCTACAGCAAGCAAGAACATTACCCCAAGGTACTGTGGTGCTTGAGTAAAGTGCTGCTTTTCGTTTTAAATGTTCTCTGGGTCCACTAATAGGAGTGGATAAGTGGATAAAGAGCTTCTAAATTCAAACATGGATAAAAGCTGGGTTCTCTTGGGGTTATTCATATCACTGAGTATCTTACACATATTTTTTAACCAGATGCCTCTATGACCAGTTATAATGTGATTTTTATCTTTAAACAACAATATTGCCTTGGACTTAATAGCACTTTTCCTTCAAAAAACTAACAATCTTCTTATACATTATTATGTCACTTTATTTTCACTCTAAAAATAATACTGTATTACCAAAGTTGGATGCAAAGTACAATCGTGGAGACTGCAACCTCCTGCATGTCCATCCTTTGTGACTCTTGTTCATGTCGTCCAATTAGTTCTCCACAAAAGGTTCATCCAGCACGCTGGAGACCTCTCCTTGATTCTCCCTGACATTTATAAGGATACTTAAGGAGCATTTGAGCTGTTTACTTGTCATTTTTCACCTTTGAAATGTGAGTAGCACCTAAAGGCAGCTAGGTGGTACAGTGGAAAGAGTGCTGCGCCTAGAATCAGGAAGACTTGAGTTCAAATGTGACATCAGATACTTACTAGTTATACAACTCTGAGGATGTCACTTAACCTCTATCTGTTTCAGTTTCCTCATCTGTAAAGTGGGGATAGCACTTTACTTTAGGATACCAGCATTTACCTCTTAGGATTGTTGTGAGAATCAAAGAAGATAATAATTGTAAAGTACTTAGCACAATGCCTAGCACCTAATAAGCACTATACAGATGTTAGCTATGTGGTTATTTTTTCTCACATATTCCAAATAGTACCAGTTTATAAAGGGGGAAACTGAGGTATAGGGAAGTGAAGTGACTTCCTGAAGATCAGATGATTTGTCAGTGGCAAAGTTAGGATTAGTGTCTGGGTCTTTTGATAGTCATCGCCCTATACCCTACAGTACCAAACAAATGCCACATAAATAGTGTTATGTTAAGTGGATTTTTACAATATAGAATTCTTTCTTATGTTATTTTTTTCCTTCTTTAGGCACTAGAAGCTATAGATAAAGCTCTACAGCTAAAGCCAAAGGACCCTAAAGTCATATCTGAGCTTTTCTTCACAAAAGGAAACCAACTAAGAGAACAGAATTTTCTTGATAAAGCATTTGAGGTATGTTGAACAATTCCAAGATTCTCAATTTTTGATTTCAGTGATTATAATGAATTAGAGTTCTTCATTAATGTTCTGTTTCAGTGCATCATGGCATGGTGGGCACTCCTTTGGCAAGGAGGCAGTGCCAACCCCAGGTCTGGCAGGTCCTCCTAAACTAGAGAGGTTTTATGTGCAGGTCTTTTGATAGGGTATGTTTGTTTTTCAAAAATTATCCTCGGTGAGTTTGTGGAGGCTTTTCACCCATCTGGTTGTAGGATTTTGTGGGCATTTTAGCCATAGTAACTATTGAAAACATGCATTAAATCATAGAGAAATTGTGATCTGAATTGGTGAAGGGAGTACTCACGCTGATGGAATTTCAAATGCTTAAAGTTATTCAGAATAAAACTTTAAGTATAACTAGTCTGCTTAAGAAATGTGGTCACCTGACTAATTGAACTTCCTTACTGATTCTTTTCCTTTCAAACATTTTGGGAAATATTTCTAAATATATTATTCCCATTTCTTATCTTATGAATATAAGTATAATTATATGGCCTATAAATATAATATGTAATAATAATTTAATAAGCATAACTGAATCCTTTTTTTAAGAAATCATAATTGAGGATCTATAGTGCCTTAGAGTCATCATTCTTATCATCAAGACCTTCCCTAACTTTGTTCCAACCTACCTTTCCAACTTTTTCTATAGTTACTTACCTGCATGAACACTATAGTACAATCAGATTAGTAAATTTACTCCCATGAACATGTCTTAAATATTCAGATTATGTCTCTATAGCTTAGCTCTTTCCATTCTCCCTCCCCAAAACATCTTATCCACTCTATTCTCTGTCTATTTGAATTATATCCATCCTTCAAGGCTCAATTCAAGTTCAACCTCTACCATAAATAGCATTTTCTGTCTATCTAAGCCCAAATTGATTTCTCTCTTCAATGAAATATTAAGCATTTATTGTCTATCTCACTTAGTTGAAACAATGGTAACTTGTTATAATATTCTAACATCATAATTTTATATACAAATAAATATACAATTATATGTGAAGAACCTGTGATTTTATCAGTGGAGGAAACTCTTGGTATATCAAGTCCCTCCAGCAAGATAGATTATAACCTATGCATAATTTAGATAAATTCTAGAAAGTTTCTTGAGGTAAATTGAGCTTGGGCATGACTATAATCACCCACCTCGTTTTTTAAGGACAGGATTTAATTTAGGCATCTGTTTCCAAACCTAGCATTTTATCCCCTATGCCATGCCACCTCTTAAGAACAAATATGTGTGTGTGTTTGTGTATAGGCATATATTTTTGTGTGTATAAACACATATAACTACACACACAGATAAATATACCTGAATACATGAAGAATCTATGATTAGTCAGGTGAAACTCTTATTGTGGAAAGTCTTACACCAAGGTAGATCACCACCCTTATATAATTTAGATAAGTTCTCAAAAGTAGGATGTACTCTCTAAAAGTTATTTTTTCCTTCCTTTCTTTTTTCTTTCATTCTTTCTTTTTCTTTCTTTCACTTTCTTTCTTTCCTTCCTTTCTTCCCTGATTTGAATTTGTTTGCTTGTCATTTTATTCAACAAGAACTTATTAAACATCTACCATATGTAAAGCATTTCCCTTAGTATTGAAGGTGACAAATAATAATAATAATAACTAACATTTATATAATGCTTTAAAGTTTGTAAAGTGCTTTTTACAAATATAATTTAATTTGAGCTATTCGATTTGCTATGGAATAGACAAAGAAGAATCAAAGTCCCTTCATGGAGAATAAAATTAATTAGTCACAACAATGTTTTGCTTCTACTGTCTTATTGTTATTACTTTTGGTAAATCTAGATAGGCTAAAGCAATAAGCTAAACTGTCTATCCTAGTTAAAGGCAAAATAAATGAAATTTAATCCTGCTAAACATAAAGCATTTCATTTATCTTCAAAATAGTCAGTTGTATAAGAACAAAGTAAATTAAGTCAGACTTGACAGTGAGACATTTGAAAAAGACTGGAAGGGTTGAGTTGTTCAGAAATTTAATATGACAAAATAGTGTGACAACATTGCTTTAAAAAAAGCTAATGTAATCTTGGGCCATGTTAATAAAAGTATAGTGTGCAGATCAAGGGAAATAATAGTTTTATTATAAATCTGCTATGGTCAGAATGACTACATTTTGTTGACAAACTGAAGAGCGTGCAGAGGAGGGTGATCAAAATGGCAAGGAATCAAGAAAGATATTTGTCAGAAACATTGAAGGAATAGGGAATATTTGATAGCTACCTTCAAATATTTGAAGAACTACCCTTTGGAAGAAGGCATTAGACATTTTGTATAGTTCCAAATAATATGCAGGCAGGCAGATAGGGAACAAGCATTTATTAAGCCCAAGCTCTGTGCTAAGTGTTGGGGATACAAAAAAATAAAATTGAAGTAGCAGCAATGAATCATAGTTATAGCAAGATGAATTTCAGCTCAGTATGTGAACTTTCTCTAACAGAACTGTCATGATGGAATGGGCCATTTTGAAAATTAATTAACTCCTTTATTATTAGATGTATTTAAGCAAAGTTTAGGTAACCACCTAGTAGGGATGTTGAAGTGTCAGAGTGAGGCTGAAGCAGACAATCTCCCAGGTCCCTTTCCAGTTTTATGATTCTGTAGTACTAGTAGAAGTACTAATTAATACCAGTACTACTGCTGCTGCTGCTGCTGCTGCTGCTGCTACTACTACTACTACTACTACTATTACTATTAATTACTATTATAACCTACAATGAAAACAACTGAAGGGGCAGCTAGGTGGTGCAGTGGATAGAACACTGGCTCTGGATTCAGGAGGACCTGAGTTCAAATCCAGTCTCAGACACATAACACTTACTAGCTGTGTGACCCTGGGCAAGTCACTTAACCCCATCGCCTAACCCCCCCCCCAAAAAAACAACCAACTGAAAAGCATAGATTATTCTTATACATTAAGACCAATGGAAAATAATGTACCATAATGAAAATCACTTATATTTTCTAAAAGATCTAACAGTTTCTGTGAGTCTACAAGGATGACTCTGCTAGGAAATTACACTTTTTAGTTTCTTCCACTTTACACTTAACAAAACTTAGGTGATCCAGTGAATGTAAGAAAATCATAAAGATATAATAGTCCATTCATGAAAATAATGGCTATCATTTTATGATAATTATATTAATAATTTAAATTTCCTATAAATAAAGGAGTTTATATAACATACATAATGTGTTTTTAATGAATATTTGCTTTCTGACCAGAAGCTGTTTCTTATTTATTTAGAGCTATCAAGTAGCTGTGCAACTGAACCCAGACCAAGCACAGGCCTGGATGAACATGGGTGGAATTGAACACATCAAGGTAGCAAAAGGAATTTCCTTTTCCATAGACCAATTCTCTATCTACTTGTCTTTTCTGTATTTTATTTCATGCATTTAAAAACATTATTCTGAGAAGCTGATAGGCTTCACCAGATTGTAAAAGGGATCCATGACATACACAAAATGGTTAAGAACCCCTGATCTAAATGATGAATATAGCCTGAAAATCTATGTGTTTAAATATATAACTGACTTTGCTGCTTACAGGGATGTGTGTGTGTGTGTGTGTGTGTGTGTGTGTGTGTGTGACAATGTTATGTTCATGTGTTGCCTGTGTGGTCCCTAATTGATGAATTTGAATTAGATAATCTCTAAGATTCCTTCTACCTTTTGCATTCTCTAGTAAATCTGCCTCAAGTTGGCAAAACTATTTTGGTGTTTAATTGGGTTTTTTAAAATTTTGTTAGCTTTCTAATATTTTTAGTTGCATTCTCAATTCATTAATCCACTCTTACTCTCTTTTTTCTCCTTAAGCACTGCTTTGGCTCCAACTCCCAAATTTTGGAATGAAGTTGTATTATTGTCATTATTTTCAATAAAATTATCTATTATATCTATGATTATTCTTTTACCTAGCAATTCTTTTAGGATAAGTTATTTAGTTTTGAGTTGATTTTTAATATTTTTTCCAGTGGTCCTTTAATATATTTTTATGTTATGATTAACAAATTATGTGTATAATATTTCTATTTTTCTGCATTTTTGAGGTTTTTATGTTGTAGAACATGACCAGTTTTTATAAAGGTATCATGCACAGTTTAGAAATATGTTGTTGAACATGACCAGTTTTTATAAAGGTGTCATGCACAGTTTAGAAATATGTATACTCTTTTCTGTTTTCATTTAGTAATCATCAGACATTTTTCATATCTAGTTTTCCTAAAATTCTGTTCATGTCCTTTCATTAATTCTTGTTTGCTTTTGGTTAAATTTATCAAGGGCTGATAGAGATAAACTGAGATCCCTCAATTTAAATTGTAGTTTTATTGTCTCTTTCGCCTTGTAATTGACTTAGTGTCTTTAGTGTATTTAGAAGTTATGCTATTGGGTGCATATGCTAACAAATTAATTCAATATTTGTGTTACCAACAAGCAAAATAGTTTCTCTTTTTAAAAAAATTAAGTTTAATTTTGCTGTTGACTTATCTGAAATCATAACTGCTACTTGTGATTTTTTTTGTGTTCAGCTGAGGCATAATAGCTTTTGCTCCAGCCCTTCATTTTAATTGTGAGAATTAATGTTTAAGTATGCTTCTTGTTGCATTTTGCTTTACATTCTACTAACATCTTCTATTTTAATAGTAAATTCATCCTATTCACATTTATGGTTATGATAGTTAATTGTTTCCTTCCATTCTATACTCATACTTTTTCTTCTCTATACTCCTCTTTCCCTTTAAAAGTCCATAACACACTCTCCCTCAAGTACATATGGAGGCCAGGGGAACATAGACTCAAGCACATGTGGCATGGGGGTAACACAGCTCCAGATTGCTGGATATCCTTTTGTCCCATTCATGTAAGCTCGAGAAGTTCCCCTTAGGTATATAGCGTATTTACTTTGTTTAGATCCTTACATAATCCAGACTGTAGAGGGCAACACCATCCTCCCAGTTCCTCAGGTTTGAAGTCCAGTCATCCTGGATTCTTCACTATCTCTCAACTCCCTTATTTAAGCTGTTGCCAAGACCTGTCTCACCTTTGCAGCATCTCTCGAATACATTCCCTTCCTTTCTTTGACACAGCTGCTACCCTGGTACAGGACTCCATCACTTCATGCCTAGACTATTGCAATAGCTTGCTGGTGGGTCTCTCTGCCCCATTTCGGTCCAGCCTCTGTTCAGCCACTAAAGTGATTTTCCTAAAATGAAGATCTGATCATGTCACCCTCACTCCCCCCCACTCAGTAAACTCCAGTGGCTTCATATTGCTCCAGAAGCAAATACAAAATGTTCTCTTTAGCATTCAAAGCCTCAATAAGCTACCCCCCCCTCATTTTCTAGTCTTCTTATACCTTAAGTAGGGATGGGTCTTCCTGATTTCCAGCCCAGTGCTTATCTGTTGCACTGCCTAGCTGCCCACTGCTTTAGAACTACACAATAAAATAACTGGTCATCCTTCTATATGACAGCCTTATAAACACTTGAAGACAACAGTCATTTCCCCCTCACCCCATATTCTCTTCTCTATATTAAATATCCTTAGTTCCTTCAGCCATTTCTCCAGTTCTTTTTATATCGTTTCCTAGATGTGGCAGCCCAAACAGGATATAGTTTTCCACATTTGTGGAAGATAAGCAGGGTATCTGACCAGGGCAAAGAACAGTGAGACCTTTACTTCCAGTAATCCAGACACTGTGAATGTTGCCTAAAATCAATTCAAACATCCTGACCTTTTCCCACAGAAGCTGCCATTAAGGAGAGACTAAGGTGTCTCTCTTCATGAATTTATGATTTTTTTTTGTTGTTGCCTAAATGTAAGCCTTTTTCCTATATCTGTGTTAAGATTCCTCTTTTTAAAAAAATGCAGTCCAGGGGGCAGCTAGGTGGCGCAGTGTATAAAGCTCTGGCCTTGAAGTCAAGAGGACATGAGTTCAAATCCAGTCTCAGACACGACACTTACTAGCTGTGTGACCCTGGGCAAGTCACTTAACCCTGATTGCCTCACCAAAAAAGCAAAAAAAATAAATAAATAAAATAAAAATAAGTAAAAATAAAAAATTACAGTCCAGCATTCCACTTTGCTTTTTTATTCCATTTCTATCTTAAAGAAATGCATTATTCTCTATTTTGTCCCAGCACCTACCCTGAAACACCCATATTTCAGATGTTAATAGGTTATTACAATAGTCCAGGGTAGAGGTAACAAAGTAACTATGGTATTTGCCAGTGAAAATGGAAAAAAGGAGACCAAAGGTTGATACATTATGGAATCTATAAGATTTAGGCAGTTAGGTGGCACAGTGGATAGAGTGCTTTGTCTGAAATCAGAAAGACCTAAATTCAGATATAACTAACCTTAGTAGCTGTGTGACCTGTGGCAAATCACTTAACCTCTGTCTGCTTATAATAATAGCACCTACCTCCCAGGGTTATGAGATCAAATGAAATAATATTTGTAAAAACCACTTAGCATAGTGTCTGGCACACAGTAGGCATTATATAAATGCTTATTCCCTTACCTTCTCATTTAGAGATTAGCTGAGTGTTAATGGTGAGGGAGGAACCATCTGCAAATCCAGGGTTTTAAATCTGGGTAAATGTGACAATGTCACTATGCCATTAACAGAATTAAGAAAGTCTGGAATTAGGAATTAGTTAGGAGCAAAGGGCAAGGATTGAAGAATGAATTGAGACCTCATAGCCAAAGGGGTACACAAAAGGGTAGCTGAAGAAAGCTAGAATCTAGAGTGGAGAAAAGACAAAGGCAAGAGAATGAAAACAATGAAGACAACAGGGCTGACAGTGATGTAGTGGATAGAACATGTGAGGACAGTTGGATTTGGATTGGCAGTAAGAGCAGCAGCTAGAGTAATGAGATATTTCCTCCCTTCCCATATACTGCTCCCAAGAAGAGATAGTAGCAGAAGTTACGCTGATAAAAAAATCCTTCCAAAAATAACATCGATTGTGGTTTTATAGCATTTATAAAGCACTTACTACGTGCCAGGCGCTGCGCTAAGTACTTTACAAATATTGTCTCACAAGATCTTCACAACAACCCTAGAAAGACGGTGCTATTATTATCCCCATTTTTCAGTTGAGGAAACTGAGGCAAACAGAAGTTAACAGAAGTTAAGTAGCAGTTAGTAAGTATCTGAAGCTAGGTTTGAATTCAGGTCTTCCTGACACCAGGCTCTATACTGTGCCACCTACCTGTCTCATCTAGGTCAGTGTCAGAGAGTGACCTAAAATTCATTGAGGTTATCTCAACACCAAAAGGCACCAGCTGTGTTCTACCCATGAGAAGGCCTTTAAGTAATGACCTTGCTGTCATTTGCAAATACTTTACCCCAAATTCTTATACCTTGCATTAATAGAATTGAAAATCTGTTCTTCTACTGTCCCACCTCATGGTTTGATTCTTGTTTCTTCACATTCCCCATCTGGTCCTGTACTTAAAACAAACGGATTTTTGGAGAGTGTCCACCAACAAGGATAAAATTGCCAGTAGTGTGGAATATTTCCTTTTATAACATTAATATTAAATTGAGTATAGATGTTGATTTCTCACATTTGCCTTTCTCAGATGGCAGTATTCTTATGGAACAGAATGTAACTCTTCTTTTTTCCCCCACAGGGAGACTATGTTTCTGCAAGAGGTTATTATGAGAAAGCCTTACAACTGGTTCCAAATAGCAAGTTGCTGAAGGAAAATCTGGCCAAATTGGATCGATTAGAAAAGCGATTACAGGAAGTTTCAAGAAAAAGATCAGACACAGTAGCACTTTGACTAAGGCTCTTGGGATAATTTGAGCTCTCTGGGAGAGGGAAAATTATGGGAGACTTCATTTTCGTAGCAGTGGAGACAAGACTTTGGTCAAGCTCATCATCCAGGATGGTGCATATGTATACAACCATTGCTAACACTAAGTGCAATGAAATTTGTATTTCCACAGGTCATAAAGAATGGTCAAGAGCAAAGGAAAAGAATAAGGAAATAACCTCATTTTAACCAACTGTTATGCTTGGGTTAGCCCTAGGGATCCCTCCAAATATTGCTCTTTTCTATCAATTCTGAAAGCCCATATATTTTTTTTCAGTTATTCATATCAAAAAATTTAAAAAGCATTAGACACTGTAGAGGCACAGCATCTAGTTCTTGTCGAGGGGGAAAAGAAAATGGAAGAAGATCCTGAGACTGAATATTTACAAAGCAAACCAAATAGAAAATTCCATGGAGTATTAGCAAAAGACCACCAAGGGATAATTTACTTAATCCTGAGGGCCAGTGTGATATTATTTGCAACCTTGGAGAGAGTATGGGGATCAATATCTGGAACCTAGGAGAAAGCACAGGGATAAAAGGATAATGCAAGGGAGGGGACTGTTTTCAAAGTTCTATTGGGAGTAAACAATGGCCCACTCTCAAATTTCTTTTTTTTCCATTCTCATATAATTTATAAGGAAAGCCACTAGAATTACGCTTGGAAATCCCTGCCTGTCCATGTGTAAAGGAAAGGGCAGGAGGAAGAAAGAGAAAAGGACAGTATAGTTAATTATTATAAGGAAATATTACTTGAATATTTTATTGTCACTAAACGTACTATCACTTTTGTAATAGTTCCCCTCCAGTATGTTAACAGAGCTGTTAAAATCACAAACACTATTCTCATGCTCTCATTCTGGGTGAGAGTTTACTATGTGTAGTCACCTCCAGATCTTCCTTGCCACATTCTGCCCATCTTCTTGCCACTCCACTGTGAGTACCCTTTTCCTTTTCTACCTCTTAGTCTGGACACAGTAATTAAAGCAACCGTACCATTTCTAAAAAGGGTGTGTCAAATCAATTGCCCTATGATTCTACTCACCATTCTTATATTTTTCCAAATGAAAAAAACCCATCTCTGGCTCCCACTTCCATATATATCATATATATGTGTATATATAAATATGATATATGATATTTATTTATAAGATATGATAGATGCGATATATCTATATTGCATATGGATATATCATATAGATATGTTATCATATCTATCATATATATCAATATCTATATAAAATATCTTCCTCTATTTGAATGTAAGCACCTTAAGGATAGGGATCATCTCGCTTTCTGTATTTTTATCTGCAGCACTTAACACAAGTGGCTTGCACATACTAAGCACTTAATAAATGCTTTTATATTCATCAATTCATTCTCCCAAATATTGACATTTTGATGGAAAAAATTGTAATTTTGCAAAACAAAGTTAACAATATAAATGAATAGAAATCACTTTATTAGTTTAATATTGGATATCCTAGGTCTCATTATTTTTTGAGGGGGGAAATAAAGTATTGAGAAATTTTTTTATAGTCAAGCACAAAAGTATAAAAAAAAAACTTTAAAAAGAGAACTTGATTCACTTATCTTAGAGTTAGTGAGGCTCTGTGCCTAGAGCATGAAATGAATTAGACCCAAGGGCCTTGGTTTATTTGTTTTAGAAATGTATTTTTTATTGTTGGGCTTTCCTGAAGAGTACAGAGTATGTTTTGTTTCACTGACTTGGTGAGAGACTGTCTAAATTGCTAATTAAACACAATACACATCTTTTTCTAAGTGAAAGTAGAAGCAAAGTGAAACTCATAATTTGGACTTTAGTTTTGAGTGTTATTTATTTTTAACTTATAATAAAATGTTTAGTATATGTATGTACACATCATTTTTTGTAGTGGTTTAATACCATATTTCCAAACTGGTAATGAGAACAACAGAAGACAATTCCAAAGTGAAAAGTAGCAAAGTTCTAACGGTACCCACAAACTAGAGATGATTTAGAACACAGATGTCAAACATGTGGCCCATAACACTCCCAAGTGTGGCCACACCAGATTATAATGTTAATATGTGGTTTGCTAAATCAGTATGTGGCCTGAAGACATCCTTATGTACAGGTTAGCAGCCCCCGTTTCAATCTGAGTTTGACACCACTGATTTCAAGTCATTCGTGGACAATCTAAGCAATTGGGTGGGTGTCAGTCATAAATGATGGATAATGCTATAAAAGACTGAAACAAAGAGAATGAAAGTGTTCATCCATTCTAGAAACTTGATTCTGATAATCATTTTCCTTTAAACAGTAATTACTAAATGCCATGCTGTGTGTGGCACTGTGCTAGGTATTATACAAACAAGATAGACTCAAAGACATTCAAATCTAAATAGGAAGGAACATGGCATCCACACTGTAGTTCAGTAAATCAGACCCAAAAATAAATCAGGAGGAACCTCTTGTTCTCAGGGACAGCTTAGGAAGGTAATAGAGAGGGTAAATGTCTTTTCCTTATCTAGATGTGTGATGTAGTTCAATATCTAATCTTAAGAAACTTACATTCTAAGAACATAAATTCAACATTGAAGGAATGAAAAAAATTTTTAACAGATTTTCAAAATGTAAAATTATCTTGGAGAGGAAACCTATATTAGGTTTTATGTTTAGGCTAATGTTTTAATGGAGTGAATCCTATAGCTAGTTAAAGCTTTAAGTACATTTTAATTTCATTGATTCCTCAGGAAAATAAGCTTTTAATAGTTGCAATATCACTATCCTAAATTGTATATATAGCATGGAGCTCAAATTTTAAAGAGTCCCCAGCTTGTTGGTAACAAGCATTTTCAGGTATAGCAAACACCGAGGTGGTAAAACAAATGGAAAGGCACCTTAATGTTAGGGATGGAAAGCCATTCCTGGAGTCAAGAAGACCTGGGTTCAACAACAGTTTTTGACATCTACTGGCTGTGTGACCCTGGGTGAATCACTTAACCTTTCAGTGCCCATGTGACTCTCTCTAAGCCTCTAAGTTTCAGAATAAGTGCAAATCTGCATCAGTAGAGGGAGTTTCCTCATGAGAATTCTGTATACCAATGAATTATAGGTCTAGTTCGAAAAAAGAAAGGCCTAAGAGGAGAAAAAAACCTCAAATTGAAAAGGATGTTCTGAAGCTATAAGACACTTGGCATAATTAAATTGGCAGTTAAATCCCAAAAGCCTCTGAGAGAAACAGGTAAAAACCAAATCAAAACAAAAACATATCACTACTGATGCAATTTGTGTTTTTGCACTAGTTAGGTGTTTTCTACTTTTAAAAGTATGAGATAATAATTTAGATAGTATTTCAAAAGACATTTAGGGCCCTCTATATTGATTTTTATTTGTATTTTTAAAAAAGAAATCTGGACCTGTGATTTAATTTGCATAGGGATCTCAGTGTAAAGAAACTCCCTCTTCCAATCAATGCAGATTTAAAACTTTTACAATTTCTGGATTTATATAATTGCTTTGGGCACTTGAGAGGTTATTATGAATGCCTATATGGTAACTGGGACTGTAGTAATGATGTAGTCTCTACTGACAGCACCATTCTGTGTTGGTAAAATGGGGGAAAGAAACCAGAGAATGAGATAGAAATGGGTTAGCACTGAATTTGACATAGTACCAATTCAATGACTAAAGTCCCACCCCTGCACTCTTCTATTCTAGGTGTAGTATATTTATTTCTGTTTCTCTCCCACCACAAACTACATATGCTAACTAGTAGGTACAGAATGAAAGATTGCCTTTGGGAGCTATCTTAAACATTGCAAACTGGTGGAATTCTTCCTGGAAATTTTTCTTAACTTTGCTAAGAGCTACAGTATTATGAAGTCAGTTTTTGAAAGGTCAGTTGATAAAGGAGGAAAAAAACAACAATTTCATTTCCAAAATAAGATCTGTAGTGATGTTTTAAGGCCAACTATTTTTTTCCCAGATTAATGATCTAAATACCAGGACAAAAGGAAAGTGCTTCATATGCTCCCTACTGTTCTTTGTGTATATAAAGTTATTCAGACCTCTGCAGAGACCAGTATAAATATTAAAGAGGGATAAGTATAACAAGTAAAACAAGGCAAAGATTACCAATATGTTATGGGTCACCTGGAATAAAAATAAATTTTAGTCAATGTAGCCCCAGAATGCATTCTTTCCTTTGGCTTTTAAGTCTTTCACAGAATGTTTTAGTTGCAGTCCTGTGGAACGTGAAATAAATGATATTTGCTGAAATTCTTAAGAGGAAACACCTCACACAGTGCACATTTTAAAATTACATTGTGCAAATACATTTTAGGTCAGAATCCAAATGAAGACATCAAAACAGTTCCAGACAAATTAAACTACAAAGACTGGTTATAATTTGAAAGGAGAGCCCAGCTAAAAAAAGTTTGTGCATGTTTTAACTGGAAGGGAAAAATCCAACTTGCAGGTGAGTATCTTTATCTGGCAGCTTTCATAGGAGTTTTACCTACTTTCTTCTTACTGAGCCAAGTGTGGTATAGCAGCAACATCACTAGACTTGGCTCAGGAAGAACTGGATTCACATTTCTTTTTCTAGCCATGCAAACCTGGCCAACTAACCTCTGTGTGCCTTAGGAAATTCTCCAGGATTTACATACTAAGTTACAGAAGAATGACTAATTTCTACCTAGTTTCCAAAGACAGAAGAGGATATGCTCTTTTGGAATTTCTAGCTTATTAAATTCCTAGGCTGAAGTAAAAAAAATTAACCAAAGATTACCAAAGAATTAAAGGGGGAGCATAAATAATTGTTTGAATCTACCTTCAGAAAATTGAGAAGCAAGTAATTTTGTTGAACTGCATATGCACCTGGACAGTTTTAGCTATAATTCTTCAGAGATTGCAGTAGTAGCCAAATGAGCCTATGCACATGAAGACAAGATTTAAATTGTACACAACTCTAAGGGGTGTGGCATTCTTTAAGATACTCAAAATGTATTATCTAACTCATAGTTTATGACTCTAATCATTCATCCTTTGGAATTGGGTATAGATTCATTGTGGTTTTCCCCCTGTTTTTGTTTGTGTCTCTGTTCCTCTTAGGTAAATAAAGTTATAGGAAACTACTAACAGATTATTTTAAAACCAAGTGTGACTATATTTTGCTTATTTTTTAAAAAATAAATTTTTCCTAGTTTCCAGCTTACTTTTACTTTTACAAATACTCCCCATCATATAGGCAAGACATGGCTCTGTAAATAGCATCTTTTAATTACTTTTTTGAAGAATAAATACACTTCCTGATAGTTGAGTAAACTAAAGAAAGGCAACTGATGATTGCCAAATTGAAAGATAATTATAATTTAATATATATTATATATTATATAAACATATATAAATATAATTTAAGATAGGGAATCTTTCTGTGCTTGCTATTAGTGTTTTGGTATAAAAGAGAACTATATTGAAGTTATTCCTAAATAGTAATTCTTTTTTATTTCTGTTTTCAGTAGGTATGTGGCTTAATGGTTAAGAGACAATATAACTGCATCAGAAACATTGTCTGTCTGTCTGTCTCTCACTCTCTCTCACACACACACGCGCGCGCGCACACACACACACACACACAGCCTGTCAAAATTCCTCAAAGCAAATGGTCCTATTTAAGATATGCAAAGGAATAGTTATGGTTATTTTTATCAATGGGTCCCTGTTTAGTATTCCTTTTTTGATCTCTAAAGGATCATTCTATTAAAATGCTCAGGAATATTTAAACACATGTAAAATGAAAAACTATTCCAATTTACAGGTTTTTATTCCTACAAGAAGCTATCTTCATTTTTGTCTATCTGAAAAGGTCTCTATCAGGTATAGATGTACTTGGTTTCTCCCCAGTTTGACCAGCATGGACAGTGGCATGTAATATTTTAAACTCAATATCAATAAATATATATATTAAGAGCCTTGTATGTGGAAGGCAGGGAGACAGCCAAGTCTTGGAATGGATTCAAGTCCTACTTCTGACACATACAACCTTTGCCACCTATGTGATCATAGGCAAGTCATTTAACCTCTCAGTGTCCCATGTAATTCTCTAAGATTTTCATTTGTATATATGTTATTGATCTGTATTTCCACAGGGCCATTACTATGCCAAATAAAGCA